TTCGTGACCTGCTTCTCAACTACTCAATGAACTGTTATCTGAATAACCTTGATTACGTATTAGACGGGGACCACGTAGTAAAGTAATGGGATCCTGATGTCCCGACGAATCATTTTATAAAATTTCCTTCCTTTACGGCATTCGAAATTTATACACTTTACATGGTCTAGTAGTAGTCGCTTGCGAGTTGCATAAGGAAACGAAATAAGCTTTTCTGGTAAAGCCAGAGTTTTGATAAGCTGTATGATTTTCTTCCCGACGAATGTAAGGAAGTGAGTCACAATATTAACACTCAGATTTTAAAATCTTCCGTGTAATCCTCAAAATCTGAATGTATGTCTAAACGTTCCATCGCGACGCCAATGTGATGATTTAAATTATAGTGCAAACTAGGAATCCTAGAAATAACACAATCTAACCAAGAAATATTAGATGAGCACGAACGAACGTATTGTATTTGGAATTTGAAGTCAGGCAGTCATCAAGTACAAAGGAATCATTAGTTCATACAAACACCATGAATAGACATTTAGTTCAGTGTGGTTTTTTATATTATCTAATGAAGTAAATCATCTTGGTAATAAATTATCGATTGGGTTATTGATAACACATTTTAAACTTATATTTAGCTAGTTAATGATTATATAATTATTTTCGATGATAACGTTGATAATTTTTAACAGACTAAAACCATTGTAACGGTTTCCCTTTACATGTATTTCTCTATATTACTTGTTATATACACGTCATTATATACATCATACTGTAATTCTAGTCCATTATATTTTATTTATCAAGAAGCATGGCCTGCATCCTTAGCATGGAAATGTAGTGGTACACCAATGTTAAAAGGACAACGTGTTCAGTTCATTGAAGAAGCGACAGAAGTTTATTATGATACATTAATGTCTGGAAGATTTATAGAAGATAGAAATCTAGACATTGTCATACCACCAAATAGCATATTAAAATCAAAAGATTATTTAAATATGCTTGATCTAGTAATACATACATCAGGAAAAAATCTTGGTAATCCAGTTGTAATGCGGATTAATTGTGAATTAATGAATAATTTAAAATGGGTCAAAGAAGTATACAATAGAGAATTATCCAGAAATACAAAGACATTTAGAGCTATACTGGATATTATTTATAGGTAAAAATCAAATTTCAATTGATTTGTTTATTCGTAATGCTTTCAACTGAATCTTCACAACTTTTATCCGGTAGTTAAAATGTTTTACAAAGGTGTAACCAATTAAGTCGACCACCAAAAAGGCATCATAGAATAAAAAAAGCAATACAAGTAACGAAGATGATTTTATGTATGAGAAACTGATGACATTGATGTCAGTATACGACAAACATTTTACTAGGATAACGAGTCTCAACTCAGCCGATGAATATAAAGAAACAATATTATAGTAGTAGGGAGAAATAATATAAGTGATTGCTTGCGGTGGTAAATGATTGGGATACTGGTATACTGTCTATATACTTAACGGATTGTCTCATATGGGTGGTGCTGGACTAAACAATGATAATACTCAGTAAGCTAGTTAAATCTGCCAAAAATAACAAGGTTTCCACCAGTATTCATTACTTTCGAAATTGTTAACAGCATAATAGCGGAAGAATACTAAAATAGACGAGGAAAATAAGAAATAAATTGATATGTGATGAGCAAAAACACTGTAGATTGAAGAAAGTGTTGTAGTGGAGATAAAGAGTAAATATATCAGCAGAGAATGAATGTGAAGTAAATCCAACGTTTCGCCTGGCAATCTGATTCAAATTTTTTCAAGGAAATATAATCAAACATCAAAATTATTGTTGGGCCAGATCAACAGGCGAAACGTTGGATTTACTTCAAATTCATTCAATAAGATCTTACAAATACATTCTTCCTTTTTAATGTTTCACATCAACTCGGTGCCCAAATACTGTGAAACTATTCGATTAAATTTAAACGAAAGTTCTTATTTATGGATCGGCATATTTTTAATTAAATTTGAGACATTGCACTATTGCCCAGAAACTACGTATTTCGCATTCCTCATGTTAACTAGGAAAAATATACCTTTATATGGGGTAGAATGTATTGATTTCTTGTCAAGAAATATTTCTCCTTATCCGTCATGATTATACTTTATAGTTATTAATGTTTTGGAATGAGTTGATATGTAACTTTGATATTATTATCAAAACATATAACTGGAGCAAATATAAGTGAACATGATTACTGTCAATATGCAAAACTGGGCTATGTACTATTTTCAAAAGGCCTTTATTCAAAGATTTCAATTTGTATTTTTAAAATTTGATTACATTAAACAATGCGATAAATCATTAGTTTTGAACTTACTGGGGATTTCATACAACTTCATAATAGTTTTGTAATATATGGTGAATCATACATGTCCTCATACATCGGAATATATTTATATCAATAAACATTTCTAAAATTCATTTCCTTCGTCAGAACCCGTAGTGGAAATACTAAAAGGACATATTCATATATAATGACTGAATAAAATTGTACTCCGTTCTCTTCTCCATTGTGAAATTACTAAATAGAGTCAAATAAACCGATCAATTAAACAGATGGGTTATTATCATTATCATATGTTCGGCAACTTTAAATCTTAAAAAAATTTATAGTTAATAAACGTATTATATAATTAAGATCATGAATAGGCATCAAGTGTAAGAATACAAAAAATCACGCTGAACTAAATATTCATTCCATGCTGTTTGATGTTAGTCAGTACAGTGGGTAAACATCTTCGCAAGAAATCAAATCGACAGTTTCAACGTCTATGAAACAACATATTAATATTGAGCCAGTATAACCAATAATTCACTTTTCATATATTTATTCATCTTTGAGAAGAGATTTCTTCTTCTCCTCTTCCTCAAAACTATCCGTTCCTCACTAAACCACTAAAAAGCTTTATTATGTTACTAATTGATTTGTTCCTTCTTCTCTGTAGATTGGGTTTATGCATTCGTGAGATTGATCCACATTTAAATTGCCCAGATGTTTGTCGAGGTAAAACACATAAATTTTGCAAAGACAAACCATACACTGTTGGTTTCTGTGGTACTTATATGAATGACTTATTACGTGATGCAAAAATCCATTATACAGAAGAGAAAAAAGTAAAAGAATTAAAAAGGATTTTGAAAAATTGGTTATTACATGTACCTGTTGAGAGACGTCTACCGATGGAATTTTTTCTGCATTTTATTAATAATAAAAAATTGTTTCTCAAAGTCATTGAAATTCAACGACAAAGTGCATTGATAGCTTATTGTCCTTGTCAAGCTAAATATATAGTAAGTAGTATGAAGTTTATACTTGAAATAATCAGTTTGATGTGTAGATGATACTGAATAACCGAGTTGTTTATGTTGAAAGTTCTTCATCGATGCTCATCTTTAGCTGAAATTACAAATTCTATTTCAAAAGAGCTGCTTTATTGACTAATAGAGAAACTCGATTTATGCACATCTATCACGTCAATTTATAGGCAGATATATGAATAAACTGGCTGACTGTCATGCAAAGACTAACTCTTTAGTTGTAGTGATCTAGAAACATAAACGAATATTTGAGGTGGTTTTTATTACAGACTGACATCAGTTGGAGGATACAGAAAAATTAAGAAGAATCAACTAGATATTACATCTGAGCTTGAGACAACCAAGCGACGCGCACCCATCAGGTAATACTGAGTCAAATAAGAGATTTTCAGATCTCACATTTAATATAATACTGACTAGTCACAGATTGAATTCTATGAGACAATTGTCACTCTCAACTATTTTGATCCATCTTGATGCTGTTCACTAATCAGTGTGTGTTTGTTGTTCGATCAGGTACTTGGTTCAAGAACTTATTGTCTTGGATTGGATTCCATGTTAGTCCCTAGACGCCTAATTAAGGTGAAACGATTAGACAGTGTTTTTGGCTTTTGGCAATTCCCCAACAGGTATCAACTCGTGGTGAAAACCATCTTCATGCTGATCAAATGTCAACAGTTAACTCCATTCGACAAAAAAACAAGCACTTTTAGCTTACCGATAAATAAACGTAGAAAGAGGGAATCTGGGTGAAAAATAATTACTTGTCAGCGTCTCTCTACTGACTACATACAAATACGAAAGTAGCACCAGTAATCTCTAGTCGTTCTTGGATTCCTTGTAAGAACGATTGAGTGAAGTCATGAATCGCGTTTTTCTCGTCGATTATATCAACAATGACCAATCACCTTAGGTCAACAACTAACAAAAGAGATATGATCACATTCAGTAAGTATTGTTGACACCTAAACAAGGAGTAATTCTCACATTTTTACTATAAGATAGACCTCTATTCTTTAGCTCAATCGGTTTGCAGTTGCGTATTCGGTGGAAACCACAACACATGTATTCAGCTGTCAAGTTCCACTACTAGTCATAATGAATCAGTACTGAAATATGAAATGACTTGTTATCGAATACAAAATACACCCGCTAGTGTTTTATTCTTCATACACAATGACCGGGTCGAATGGGAACTAAGATAGTACATTTTTACATTTCTTGTTTTTTTAATCAGTTCTCTTTAAATGATCAGGGCAGCAGAATCGCCTATCTTAATACTGGCTATGTTTGATGATTATAATTTTTCGAATTATTGTACTAACTAGAAATTCCCGAAATTGTGCACTTTGCTGTAAGTAGAACTAGATGAGCATAATTGAACGTATTGTATTTGGAATTCCAAATCAGAAGGCAATCAAGTGCAAAAGATTCATTAGTTTGTACAAACACCACACGAAGTCAGCTCACTAAACATATACTTTATTCACTTACTTATCTGGTCACATTACGTCATCCCTATGCAGATTGATTCGATTGAACTAATACTGGTAGGGTGATTATCTGCATTTTCACGCAACGGAATCATTTATGTTATCGAAATTTCAACATCATATTTTTAAAATGTTTCTTAGTATGACAGAAATTCAGACACATGTTCGAAAGTAAGAAGACAACATAGTTGTTACAGTGACAGTTACTGTGCGAATGGAGGTACATGTGTACAAAATCTGGAGATTGATCATCTGGAGTCAGGCTTATTTTGTCAATGTCCACCTGCTTTTAAAGGTACTCAGTGCGAGTATGAAAGAAATCCATGCGAAGATGAAGTTGGCTGTGTTCCATTTTCTTGTGTGCGAGATCCACGAAATTTAGAGTATGGTTCCCGGTAAGTATTTTATGTCCAGTTTCGGTAATAACTCATTTTAAGACAGAATATTAATATCTCAAATTAGATCGTGAACAAGTGGTAAAATAATTCCAGAATAAGAAGGGAGCGAATGGCTATGATATAAAAACAAACTAAGAGGTCATTGTTCGCCTACTTGAGATTTTTTTAAGAGAATGTGAGCTAACTTGCGAAATCAATGATTAGGTTAATTAAGTGATATGTAGTTTCAATCTACCGATGAATAGTGCTTTATCCTCTGAGCTGAACGGTTTAAATGGCTTTGCGCTTTCACTCTCGACAAAGTCAGGGTCACCAGTCCCAATTATAATTTAGTTTTTAAGACTATTCCAAAAGCAATAGACCAGTCAGTTCCAATGACTTTGTTTGTGACTAGTTGTCTAGATACTACTGAAATCAGTACTACCTGAATAATCTAGTTGAATAACTGTGGTCATTGGAAGTGATGGTTTTCATGATACGGGAACAAGTTGGTGGAATGATGATTCCCAATATAATTGAGTTTAAGTGTATAGTAACAGAGAAAACAATGTGAAAATTTGGAGATATAATCTCGTAATCAAAGAGCAGAAAGGCATCACGACAGAATAAAACAACCTCAGCTGTCCTATGATTTTCAGTCTATACCACTCAGTAACAGTAACCTATAAAACAGACACAATATATTTAGGTTCAATAACAAGCACTGACAAATTAACGGAAGTTAACTATCAAGAACACGTTAGTTTGCTCGGCTTCCTCCCCTGCATTCTTCGTGCTCTTTAGGTACTCAAAACCGAAGATGGTGGGATTGGAGTGGAAACCTGCAGTTCAGTAACTCAAAATTCAATCTTTAATCAGTAGCCGACATCCACTTATTCGAAAAACTGCTAACTTTCCATATATGAACTACATTTGTCTATCGCTTTCAGTATGCTGTTCCTAAATATTGTGAAAATTTGTTTCAGGAACTGTCCTGTTTAGTCCAGAATAAACTGCAGGTCGTTAGTTATGTAGAGTTCATCGCGAAGACCTTACTTCCATGTGAATCTTCACTCCTAACTTAAAAGAAATCTATCTTCACTATCAAATTCAAATCCCTATAACTTAGTGGTATTGTTTGTTTGAATCTCCTCACTGATGTTCAGGACTACAGTCGGTTGGGCTCAATTGACCAGCCATATTGTTCAATATAACATCTGAAAAACATCCAACTGTTCAATATCTAACCCACTAAAGATTTGTGTTTTCACAATTATCCTCGACTAATGCATGTGTCGTTCTTGGAAGCGATCTCTACTATCTGTGACCACGCACTAGTATGTTTGACTTTGTCAGAAATCACCCAAATAGTATCTGTTCTATGTAGAAAAATACACTTACTACTGAGATAAACTGTTGGATATTATTATTCATAAAGACAGAACCAGCTAGTCAAATCCATTTTTCTATCGATTAATAAAAGTCACCATTCACAAAGTCTTTTTAAGGTCAGTGATTGAGGACACAAATTGAGCTTTGATGGCTCAATGGGTTTTCGTACCACTTAAATTGTACACTGGATCTCAGATAAAAGAAAAACATGGTACAATGTTTACCGTGTCAGACTAACCTTAATTAATTAACATAGTTGCGATCTAATTATAAATGTTACTTAATTCCTTCTCTTTTTATGAACATATTAGTTGTCAATGTCCTACAACACATCAACATCAGACTGAAAGTGAACCCAGGTGTGTACCTATATCAGTTTGTGGTGAATTCAATATAACAAGTGAATTTAAAATGAGAAGGCAACCATGTAGGAATTCGGGTCAGTGTATCCAAGATACTAAAAATCCAACTTTGTATAAATGTATTTGTAGCCATGGTTATACAGGTGATCATTGTGAGATTGAACCATCACCAGCTATATGGAGTGTATGGTCAGCATGGTCTAATTGTTTATGGCCTGACTTAAATGAAATATGCCACAAAAAACCATATCGTCAACAAATACGCACTTGTATAACTAATGCAATCGGCCAAAAATGTATGGGGGAAACAAAAAGGATAACACATATTGGATGTGATCTCAGTGTAGTGAGTTAGCATTACTTATGTACATATATGATATTTCACAAGAAGTTCATCTTTGCAATTACGGTTAATTTTGATTGGCTTATAATTCTATATAATTAGGTTACATATTATTGTATTGATTGTTCTAAAACAACACAAATGTTTCACTGTAATTACAACTTCGTCTTATATCCTACTCAGTTGATATAACCTAATGATAACTTCATAATCAATCAAGGAATGTTCACAACTCTCCTACATCAAGTGGATTCAATGTTGCACAAAGTCGAACAACCACAAACTGAACTCACCATACTCATCTACCCAGTGATCAACTTGACACTCCTACTGAACACATAATCAATACTGAAAATTAGATCAATAGTTATACATTTTCACAATTATTCTTATTTATTTTCCAGCTCCATTCAAAATCAGAGATCAACGTATCACAAACAAAACGTGAGAATCTAATAAACGCATTAAAACTATGTGATTTATATAGTAAACAATATGTTATGCCAACAAGTGAATATGGATTAAATCAACAATTAATAATAGTTGAAGAAGCCGATGATTGGATTACAACCGGTTTTGAGGATGCACCACAACTACACTTGAGTGAGTCAACAGTAACTGATCAATCACAGTCAGCAAACTGGCCTACGAGACAGGACTATCTACTCACCACAGGATGGATATATGTGACCATAATTCACATAGGAACAATACTTTTTTGGATTCATTACATACACCGTTGGAGAACACAACGAAGAGATTAGTCAATAGCCATTTTAATATCGCCGATTTCGGTACTTTGATTTGCTTTACACCTGTTTTGGTTTTTCAACAGTACTATTGCGAATTCGCAGAAGTATCTAGAGTGGAACAAACTCTATCTTCTCTGAAGTAGTGCTTATTGCAAATGCAACATCGTCGCGATGACTAATAAAAGCCAACTCGTGTTAGTCAAGTGTTTTGATTCATTTTAGTGATCTCTAGAAGCAAACAGATGTAGTTTCACTTAACGACAAATTCAAGTACCATTCAAGCAGATTGTGATGACGTGTTTGGATAGACTTTTTATCAAGTTCGTTTGAAAGTAACGAGTTGGATGCATAACCTGAGGGTTTTGAGTTTATTGCTATCAGGGTTATGTGTACGGATTGCTGAGTAGTTCTGAGGTAGCTAACAGCAGTCCTTGATTCTTAGCTTCTCAGAATGGCGTAAGCCCGTTATCAAAAACGATAATCTTCTCATAAGTTTCATAACCACTGATTCCGATCATTTCAGAAAGTGGTATATTTTTATAACTCCGCCCAGGTAATTGACGTACAGTAATCAATGAACGTCCACACTTCGACCGACTGGTCTTTTCTCTCCTGTGAGAATATAACTCATCTGACTTCATATATTCGTTATCAGGTGAAAAGGTATGTCCCTGCCACTGAGACAGACGTTTTTAACTGAGGTTTAATGATACTTCTTGTTTATCCAAACCGAATTAGGTGATGCTCGGCTTGTCAGGTCCTTTAACTGTAAACAGACCATCACTATTGTCCAACCGCCTAATTGATAGCTAAGTGACTCCAGCAAAGATTGGTGATTATTTGATTAAGCTGATAGTCAAATGTTTGTAGAATCTTGCAAGGGACGACTGTAACTACTAATGATAAATGTGAATGCCGTTCTAAATGGAATAGTGTTGTTAGGAACTAGAAAACGAAGAATATGAAGCATTAGAAGGAACATTTCAAGTAAGAACACAACTAACGAAGATTCTGGCCATTTAAAGATGGATGTAAAATGTAATACAAGACTGCAACATGTGATCCACTAGATTCTATTATGGCCCTTGTGTGATAAACTTTTAGTTGACAGAGCTATACAGTTTCTAGAACAGTTTTTTTAGATAACTAATGAATAAAAGTGAACTTTATGCATTACCCAAAGTGTCACGATAACATGAAAAATGACGAGTACATATCGTTTATCAACTCAAGAGTATGGTTAAAATCTATGTATTACTCCTAGTAATCTTAACTCGGTTCAGAAACAACACAATACATACTCATTCGTTGAAGATTTTCTCAATATTACGATTTGAAAGCCACTTAATAAACATGTCGACCAGTTCAATTTCCATGTCGGATTTGTGAAAAACCTAAATTTATATGCGGATTTTTAAGTATTTTACCCACTGCTAACTAGGCAGTGTCATACTATCATGAAACTCTACGATGACATGATGAAAACATACGAATAAATACATTTAAGGATAGTTGATCAAACAGAGTGACGGCATAGTTTTGAAAATTAGAATTCATGACACGGAATAACCAAACTGAGTACAATAGATATGGACCATCAGTCCTGTTAAAAGTCCAGAAGACTATCGATCATTACCTCGTTTACTATCAATGGCCAAACCTCTAAGAAAAGGAAACGGGTATCAACCAATAGTAGAAGGATATCACGCTCTACATATTGGAGCACTAAACTTTTAGGTAGATATTATTTTAAAATAATTAGCTAATTGATGTGATAAAATAAGTTGAAGACATTTTGTGATTTGTTAAACAAAAGGATGGTTGAATAAATATACGGAAAGTAATTACAAAGTCATATTAGTAATAACTACATTTTGTACAAATATACTGAGTGGGGTCCATCAATAATGGATTTGGATGCTTGGATATTAGGCAGTGGATATCTGGCTGTAATGACGATTGAACCATTTTTTAATTCTTTGTTAAGTTTCTGTTCGATAGATCCCATCTGTAAATTTAAATAATTGTAGACACGTCATTGTTTTGCGAATATTTAACGTTTTCAAGATCCGGAATAGTATTATGAATAAGACAACTATCATACACTAACTCATAATAGAAAAATATAAACAATCATTTGACTAAGTGACCGTTCTAATTATACTGAAAATCTCGTATTGTACTAAACAAATAATACTTAACACAGACATTGTCACTAATACAAAACTATAACTATTTTGAAAAACCCACCAATATGAAATTATTTCTCTACATTTATGTAGTAACGACTTAAGTGCAATGACGAACTCTCTGAAAGCATTGTAGCTTGTACTGAGAGCAGAATGGTTTATGATGGGGGTAAAACATATCGCTTAAAGAGAATAGTTTGCATAAAATAAAACCTATAATACCAGCTATAGCCCGACGATTCTAGGTTTGATAGTAACATGGAAATACGTTTATACCTATTTTGCACATAATTAGTGGGTTTTTTTAGTCTTTTATAAACAATGATGTACATATAGATTATTTCATGAAAACGACCACAATATACACATCTGCACTGAATGAGTAAACACCTATTAATAATTCTAAATGTAGTGAGGAAAAAAAGAATAAGTAGCAAAATCAAAACCGATTCTTTCTCTTAATTCCACAGCCATTTTTGTATATCTATTTATTATTTATTTAAACACACAAACACTGATACAAGAAGGAACCAAATATATATGCGCCACACAAATCAAACGATTTGTGTGATGGCAGGGATACTGCACGGGCGCCAAAGCAGAAGCAGTTTGTGTCAATCATATTCTAAATGGTTTTATTGCCAATAACAATCTACATTGAATGGATTTATCAGCAACACATCATTAGATTTACTCACCATTGAATCTACACCAAACAGTAACACTGTATCATATACAGAAAGATTAGTTTTCCACATATTTTTGCAAGCGAAAGTTACTTTGGGTGTAGTGAGTACTTTATTACTACAAAAGGAGTTGATACGTGAATACCAAACAAGCGGACGATTTAACTCTACACCATGAGCAGAAGTGATTTTCAATGTTGGCCGACTTATTAAATCAATTAACTATAATTTGGGAAAAAACAAAAGAAAAACATAAAAGCAACTAGACAATAAGAGTACAACATTACACGTGAAAAAAGATTAGAAGTGGATAATATAACAACTACGTACAGCGGTATAGTAACTTTGGTCATACATTTTTATACAATATAGCTACTCATTTGACCATAACTGAAGTTAATTTTGAGAACAGAAACTTATCAATCTGTGCCTTGTGAAATTTTTGTGTTACTAGCTTATTGTAAATTTCAAAGTCATTTTGGTCGCTAGTTAGTTTGAAGAGTAAGATAGTTTTTATCCTGGTTGAGGATGTATTGATAAAATATTTAGCCCCCACTAAAAATGTTAGAACTTCACCATACTTATTGTATACCAACAGTCTTTGTTTCTCGACATCTGGCCTGCTTTCAATCCTCTGGATGGGATTGTCTTTTGAACAAGTGTGTGCACGAGGAGTTTATCAACATCCTGAAGACTCTATATACAAACAACTCAGACAGAGTGAGGCCATACGACTATCTCTCTCAACTGTTCCATTCGAGTAGTGTGGTTAAGCAGGTTTGCCTAGTCTTACACTCCCCAACTTTACCATCGATGACGTTCTGGAAACAGCTCTGATGGATGTAGGTAATGGTTGTATGGATGTTATCTGGAGAAAGACTTTTCGACCTTGAGTATGTGGATGATATTGTCTTACTGTGCAATCCTCACCTAATCAGTTGACATTGTGAGTAGGTATAGCAAGTGAGCTGCACACTTTAAATGCAAGGCACTTTTAGAAGACTGGAAGGACCATGTGTTTGCACTCACTCTTGGAAGTGAATAGTTAGAAGTCGTTGAGAAGTTCGTGTATCTGAGTAGCTGCATAAGTGCTGGTGATGAAATGAATGATGAGACTAATTTACGTATAGTGAAAGTCAAAGTGGCTTATACCAATCTGGGCCATTTTTGGCGCCTTCGTGATGTTAGTCTGACTGCAAATGACCGGATCTATAATGCGTCGACAAGAGCAGTTTTGCTCCATGCTTGTGAAACCTGGTCTCTCTGAGATGATGTTAAGCACCTCTCTGTGTTTGATCATCGTTTTTTCCGACGGACTATTGACGTTCAGTGGCAACACCAGATTAGCAATGCAAGGGTTAGGGAACGTATGTTCATGGACAGTGACGATAATTCAACTAGCGTCACCACCTTGAAATGCAAACATCGGTGGCTTGGACATGTACTAAGAATTTCGTCCCAGAGAGTTCCACATCGTGCATTATTCGTTGATGCTCGGACTGGTTGGAAAAAGCGGAGGTGGTCAGTGCATAACATGGTGTCGTGGTAAGGAAGAGAGTTGTACAAGACTGGCACCTGTCGGTCCTTCAAGACTCTGTTTCGGGTCCAAGAAGTAGTGCACTACAGTGACTTGAAGAGTTGTCAGACATGACTCAGAATAGAAAAAACTTTAACCAAAAGAATGCTTGCTGGTTGTGTTTTTCTTAATCGAACTACCTCTCCCATTAATATCACTGTTTTATCACTCTTATATACTTATTATTTATTTATTTATTTATTTGAACACATAAATATTGGTACAAGAGAGCGCCAATATATATGCGCCACACAAAACAACGGGAATTCGAAGAGAAGTAGAAAGAAAAAAAAAAAACTAAGGAACGCAAAAGAAAAGGAGAGTAATGACGAAGAGGTACAATCAGAAGAAATCTTTCAGTTAAGGAAGACAACCACTTTTTATGAAGAAAGTAAAAGGTTACAGCAGGATCGCCACTGGCTTCTATTCTGAGCCATATCTGATAACGTCTCTAGCCACTGTGTAGCACCATCTCTCGGACCCCAACCAGGGAGTCGTGAAGGACCGACACAAGCCAGTCCTTTGCAGCTTTCTTTCATGCCACGACACCATGTCATGCACTGACCACCTCTCCGCTTCTTCCAACCAGTCCCAGAGTCGGCAAATAATGCACGACGTGGAATTCTCTGGGACGACATTCGGAGAACATGTCCAAGCCACCGAAGTCGGTGTTTCAAGATGGTGACACCAATTGAGTTATCATCTCTGTGCCCGAACACACGATGCCGAACCTCTGCATTACTCACATGGTGTTGCCACTGAATGTCAGCAATCCTTCGGAGACAGCGATGATCGAACACAGAGAGTCGTCTAACGTCCTCAACTCGGAGAGGCCAGGTTTCACAAGCATAGAGCAAAACTGCTCTCACCGACGCGTTGTAGATCCGGCCTTTTACAGCCAGACTAACATCACGAAGGCGCCAAAGGTGGCCCAGATTGGCATAAGCCGCTCTGGCTTTCACTATTCGTGCATTGATCTCATCACTCACACCCCCACCAGCACTTATGCAGCTACCCAGATACACGAACTTCTCAACTACGTCTATCTGCTCACCGTCCAGGGTGAGTACAGGATTAGAATCCTGCCAGTCTTGTAGAAGTACTTTGCACTTCGAAGGTGCAAAGCACATACCATACCTACGGACACTGATTGCCAACTGATTAAGTGCGGATTGCATGCCTTGGGCATTATCGCACAGTAAGACAATATCGTCCGCATACTCAAGGTCGAGAAGTCTTTCTCCAGGCAACAGATCCACACCACCATTACTTACATTCATCAGAGCTGTTTCCAGAATGTCATCGATGGCAAAGTTGAAGAGGAATGGTGAGATTGGGCAACCCTGCCTAACCCCACTGCTCGAATGGAACAATGGAGAGAGGTGGTTGTATGCCCTCACTCTGCCTGAGGTGTTTTTATACAGGGCTTTTAGGATGTTAATAAACTTCTCAGGCACACCCTTCTTCAACAGACAATCCCAGAGAACAGTCCTATCCAACGAATCGAAGGCAGCCCTGATGTCAAGAAACACTACGATTGTTGGCCTTTGAAAAGTATGGCGGTGTTCTAACATTTGGCGGAGGGTGAAGATATGATCAATACATCCTCGACCAGAACGAAACCCAGCCTGCTCCTCGCGAGTCAATCTTTCTCGGGTTTTGAACAACCTACGAAGTATGACGGAAGCCAATAGCTTGGACGCAATCGGAAGTAAACTTATCCCCCGGTAGTTGTTACAGGAACGACGTGAACCCTTTTTAAAGATAGGGACAACTATCGACTCATTCCATGACGTTGGCACACTCTCTAGTTCCCAAACCTTTGTGAACAACGTCGTCAATTCCTTAGTCAAAAAGTCACCACCATCTTTAAAAAGAGCCGGAGGTAAGTCATCTGGGCCAGGTGATTTGTAACGCTTCAAGAGTTGGAGTTCCTTGCGGACTTCCTCCTCATTTGGTGGATCAGTCGTCACCGGCCATGGAGGGCAGGACAGTCTGACCGATGTTGCCGGAGCAGCAGGCCAGTTGAACTGCCCTTCGAAAAATTCTGCCCATCGTCCAAGACGTCGATGGATGTTAGTGATTGGCATCCCATCATCCTCGCAGATTGTTTCACTCACACCAGACTTCTTGCTGCCAGTGGCTCGGATGAGTTGGAAGAGCTTCCGGTAGTTACCAGATGCAGCTGCTGCTTCCAGCTCATTAGCACGCATCGACCACCAGGCTTCTCGGTCCTTACGCAAGCTTTGCCCGATTTCCTTACGTAAAATCCTTCGTTTATGGTCAAACTCACGGTTACCCGGAGTAGACCGACGGGCTTCAATGAGTTGTAAGGAACCAGAAGAAACCCAGTGCTTAAAAGCGGGACGTTTCGCAAACCCACAACTGACTGTTCCCGCCATTTTCATGGCGTCATGCAATTGCAACCAATGCTCATCTATACTTTTCGGTGGAGTGGTAGCTAGCCTAGAGGCTAGCTCGGTTCGATACTTACTTGCAACAGAAGTTGCAACCAGCTTGCTAACATCAATCCGTTGATGGCGTTCACTTCGTTGTCCACTGAAAAGTAAGGCAAGATTGGCGCAGACCAAGGCATGGTCAGAGTCCAGATAGGTACTCCAAAAGGAGCGGCAGTCTTGTACACAACCACGCCAGCGGTAGCTGATCGCGATGTGATCAATCTGAGTCCAGGCTTGAGATGCAGAGGGAGGACGCCAGGTGGCACATCGGCGATGACTGTGCCGAAAGTTAGTGCTAGCCAGAAACAGGTTGTGGTCTGTGCAAAGTTGCAGTAGACGGTCCCCGTTATCTGACCTGCGACCAACGAGTCCCCATCGGCCACCTAAACGACTCTCTTCTGTGCCTAGACGCCCGACCTGAGCATTCAAGTCTCCGGCTAGTACTACAATATCTGTCGAACGCACTTTCTGGAGAAGAACTGATAACTGGTGGTAAAACTCATCCTTGATTGCATCCGGGCTGCAATCTGTCGGGGCATAGGCGGAGATGACGAAAAGACATCGTTTCTCACGCCGATTTCTTCTCACTTTGATGGAACTTTCTAATCTAACAGCACATAACCGACTGTTAATGGGGATCCAATCGACTAGTGCTGCCTCAGCTCTAGCGCTTAGTGCGACACCAACGCCAGCAAGACCAGACGAAGATGCCACAGGGTCCCCGGATAAGCGCACGTAAAACAAGCTTTTTGAAGTGACAGATGTAGAGCGAATTTGTAGTACTTCGCTAGAGTCTTGAATACGGGTCTCGGATAGACAACAAACATCAATATTAAGACTTTCCAAAGACATAGCCAGCCCTATCTGTTGACCAACCTGCATAAGTGTGCGAACGTTGAAGGCAGCCAGTTTGAATGGCGCACGTGGTTTCAGAAAAACTGCTTCAGTACTCATATTCGATGGTAACATACAACTTTCAACCGGACAGTGACTCGAGAACGTTTAGATACAGTCGAATTTCCACCAAAGCCGAGCCGCTGTATAAGTATGAAAGAGGGTGAATAATGTGGGAAATAATAATAATAATGATAATAATAATAATAATAACGACAATAATAGTAATAATAATAGTATCAATAATGACAATAATAGTAATGATAATTATTTGAATTGATTGATTGTTTTTGTTTTTTTCGGAGCGATGAAAGTAGTTGCCAAAGACATAGAGTTCATCGTTTGTGTGTGGGCTGTGATACTGCCCGGGTGCCCAAACCGAAGCAGGTGGTTTTCTTAGGGGGCCACCCCCCGAGCCTTTGACCTAAAGGTCTAACCCACAAGGCAGTGGAGCATCGTAAGGAGATGCAGTCCCATGGTAGCCGGTGACCAACGATTGGTTCATACGCCATTCGTTCCCGCAGGATACTGGAGCCCATGTGCACCATTGATTTGGAATCCGGTTAAAGCGCCGGACATTCGCTTTTCGTCCTCTCATTTTCGTAAACAACACCCCCGCCACGAGAAGGCAATGAGTAGGACTTCCCTGGCAGAGGCTGTATACGCGTGGCCGTGTGAGAGTATTTCGAGAGGGAGAGCGGACTCTCCCCACTCTCGGCCGTACCAGGGCATACTCTTTTCTCTACCTCTTCACTATCTCACCTTTATTGTGGCGTATATATATTTTGGTGTCCCTTTGTATCAATCTTTGTGTTTGAGTAATTAAATAAATTCAAAAATATCCAACATAAGATATATATTCACATAACTTTTTTTAGTTTATCAAGTTTATTCACATTTTTGCTATACTATACTGACGTGTGTTCATAGCCACTTTCAATTAAACTTATTTGTCAGCAATTTCAACCCATTTTAGAACTATGATTTTTGAATATTATAAGTCGTAATCACGTGAAGCGAACCAAACGAAATAAAATGTTGATCTGTTCAGATCTGTATTCGCGCTCTCTTCATGATAAAATGTCAGTCAGTCACGAAGTAGAACCTGTACGTATGTATATTAGTTCAAGACGCCATAACCCTCTAGCACGAAGGGATGAAGTTGTTGGGCCAAACCCCAGAATAGTAGAGGTAGTTACAGTATCAGTGGCAATGGGAAAAATTACAGATAGAAGATACGATCCAAAAAGAAAATACATATCAATGAAATATAAACAAAAAGAGTTATGAGGGATTTAGTATCAAGGGATTTGGGGGAAGACAAAGAATGGACGCACATGAGCAATTGCAAACGATTTTTAATTTTGTCACTCAAAGTCTCTAACCCCTGGTTACGATAATAACGCGAACTCCAACCAGGTAGTCTAAACCTATTAACATGACCAAGCCCGATTGCCGGTGACTTCATGAACTAGTGCCATGTTCTGTTTTGTCCGCTTCTAGCTTTTTCTTTCAGCCAACTCCTGCACTAAAAAACACTGCCCGTCGAGGTAGGCGGTGTTTGGGTAGACGAAACATATGTCCCAACCACCTCAGTTCATAAAGATTTGCTATCCATTCAATCGATCTCCCACCTTTATCTAGTGCTCTATTCCGAAAACACCAAATGCTTACTTAATGGTCCCAAAATAAACGAGAAATGCTTCGAATGCATTTTTGATCGACCAGTAACATACGAATATCCCCAATTCTTAATGGCCATGTTTTACATTCCTAAAGTAGAACACAAAAAAACTGCTGCGCAGTAAACTCGTCCTTTGGTTGGAGGACGGATATGTCACCTACACTATACGTGATGCAAAATGAAGAAATCCAGTTGGGTATTCTGAATCCATCCCGTAATTTCATTAGACACCAGACTATCAGAACGATAGACCTCCCAAAATAGATTAAGCGGGTCGATGTGTTCAACTACTTTACTCCTTATCACTAATTCGAGCGATGACACTAGCCAATCCGGAAGTAACATTTTACATTCGGGAGTTAATTACGCGTATGAAATTTCAAAAAGCTTGTATTATTATATGGAAGACTTCTATGTCCAGAGTTCACAAGCTTTTAACTACGACTCACGTAGATAATACTTTTAGCCGGACTAGTACAAAATAAATTTGGATTAGCTGCAGAATCTCAGTTGCAAAAAATACACAAGAAAAGTAACAACAATATAAGATGCCTTAAGACATAGTCTTTACCGAGTATCTGTGACAAAACTAGTATATCTGCTTAAATGGGAAATCGGAAACAAAAACAATCCATACTAACCACACGTCCATCACCGCTGCCTAGATCAATTATGGATCCTAATGACTTATCACTTTTTTGACTTTGCGCATACTCCAGAAGCTTGTACGTATTATCTAGCTGAGTCGACGTAGCAGGTAAGAATGGTAAACAAATTCTCCGAAATGCAGGAGAGATGAATGACCAAAAAATGTAGCATGAAGTAACAGTCGTAATCCCACATCCAATTAGTACGGGATCCCAGAGTAGTGGATGTCTATTTGACGTTGATTGGATACTAGAATGTCTGATTATCGACTCCAATGGAGTATCTGTATTCATTTAAGTAACTAAAAACAAAATAAAAAAGAAACGATGATTGGCGAAACCAAAATGTTGGTGTGAATTACTTGATAGGGAAGTCTGGGGGAAAACAAAGATGAATAAGTTGAAAATACTGTAAGTTTTCACGAGGTCTAATGGTTTCACACAAAAAACACGTACAATCATTATATCGATATTTGTACAACATGGATCCACCACAACAGATTTAGCCTATTCGGTTAGCGATGTCTGCTAATAACGTCAGTTACTCTGTACACTATTTCACGCGTAATTTGTGTTACAAAATTCAACACCTACATGTGCGCTGACTGTTTTCTCTCTGACTTGAGCGTTATTCCATGCACCACTACCATAGAACTCAACATACGATTCTGGGCATTGCTAGTCAATAAAGTAAATTTAAATAACGATTACTATATATCACCAGAATCCAAATGCAGTTTCCGGTAGGACTCTAATTTATGGACGAGCCAATCAGAAGAGTTTAAGGAATTTCAAGGTCACGGCGGTAAGTTCAGTGCAAGATGCTCACATTCGATCGTTTTACGGCAGATTTTAGAGAATAGGTGATCGTTGAGAGACTACAGCAGATGGCACTGTTAAGAAGTTCCTGTGTCTGTGACTGCGGCAATTAAATGACCGCAGCACGATGTGCAGACTGCCACGATGACATTGTATGTCGTTGTACTATATGTTGGAGAAAAAAATCTGCTCGAACTGGCACTTTTTTGCCCGGCCACGGCTAAGGCTAAGACAAACCATGATAATCGTTGCAAATTGGATCATAAAGTCTCAAGTAACATTAGCTGCGGCTATACCGACGATTGGAAAGTGTATAGATGCCTCTCCAGACTTGGTTCTGTGCATCATATTGTGGTGCACAAACGGCATTTTGTTGATCCAATGACGGGGGTCCATACAAACAGCATTGAGGGAGTGTGGTCTAGGCTGAAGTATTTTTAAAGACCCTACCACGGCTCCAGAGGACGATTATTATGGGGTCATATGGACGAGTTCTTATACCGCATGCACTATGATTTCAAAACTTCTGAACCTTTATCAAACCTCAACAAGTTCTTAAATCATGTAAAAGAAGAATATCCATTGTAATTCATTACTTTTTTATAATATATTTTTACTTTATACTAACTCTTTTTTGATTGGCTAATGCCCTCAAGGTCACTTAAAAAGTCGTTCAAAGGTCGTCCATAAAGTAGAGTTTCACCCAGTTTTCTAAATCCGAAATATGTTAAATAAACTGTAAACCCCTTATAGTGTGGACATTTTAATGGAACTATATGTAACTACCAAAACTATCAAATTCTCACGTTTTCACAGAGTATACAATTATCTGCAGCTGACTTTTGATAGCAACCAAATAAGAACTTGGAGAAAACAAAAACGAAATTTCGGAGAATCCCAGAATAGTTGGACACACATGCTTTGTCCATGGAAAAAGATGTTAGCACAAAATATTTACCAGATGTACTTCCCGTCAAAATGACTTTCATATTGGGCTGAATAACGTGTACCGTCTGGTTCAGATGCAAAAGATTCACTTAGAATATAACACTCGAACACGTAGCATTTTGTCTAACGTATAGGTAAACACAAAGGCACATATATATGTGTACTTCCGTAAACGGAAATTTACCGTGGAAAAAAATTTGTACAATACACATCTTACTTATGTTTGAACACGAGTACTAAAATGTTGTAATACTTTTAAAACTTAAGTCTGTCATTATATAATGACAAACTTAAGTTCTGTATCCCAAAGAACCAAAAAAGGGGGAAATAAAGGCGAACAAAGGGGAAATAAAGAAGTAAATGCTTTGGAAGAGAAAGGGGAAATAAAGGCGATCGCCTTTTTGTTTTGTATATATATATATATATATATATATATATATATATATATACAAAACAAAAAACTTACTGTTATATTACTTCGTTCATATGAAGCATGATATAATGCAAAAGAACATCCACGAACACAAGAATGATGAAAATAGAGGGGAACTTGGTATCAGTTTAGGCGGTGACGAGGTGACCCTGTAATTTATGAAGGACCTTTCGGCGACGCCGAAGTGACCTTGAGAATTATTAACTGGGACGATTAACTAGGACTAAATGAAGGTTACAAAGCAATGTGATGAATTAGAACTATAATTTACAGTTGGTTGTTAAGGCTAGGAACTGGATTTAGGTGTTTCGTCACGAACTGACATCAGCCTTATTGCCAAAACTCTATTTAGTGAAATTGATGAGTGAACGTCGCGTCAATGTCCAAGACTCGATAAGTTCATAGAATGTACCTAAATTTAATAAAGACAGCATGAAGGCAATGACTCATTGGCATCGTCCATTGGTGAAGGTTACTGAGCACTTGCTGGTCGGACCGTCGTAAAACGATAATCCGTAAGTTTTCCTAGATGCGACAAAATAAAGACAGCTCTAAATTTGATTTGAATTCAGCGACGCTATGTCTGATTGGCTTTACCCTTAGGGTAGCGAAAACGACACTTTAATTGCGATCCGTATAAATCAATTCCAGCTTTCGCTTGAATACGACAGGAGGTTAGGTGGCCTGTATTTGTCCTGGCAATGATGATCGCTCAGTTGATCCATTTTTCTCATGAAATAGTCTGCAGATGGAGCTTCAATCATGTGTTAAGATAATGAACTTCTTTTGCTAATGGTTCGATGGGAAAGTCGATAGTTAGTTGGCAAATAATTTGTTCTGTGCTTGTAAACTTTTTGAAGTGTCCTCGTATGTTCTCGGATTTGGAAGACAAGAAAAATTAAAGCGTTTCAGATGCTTGATTACAGTTTGGAAACTGTGATCAAGCATCCCCTAGATATTTGATATGAAAATGAGAATGGGTTTAGTTTAGCCAGTCAAATATGATACGGTAGCTTCGCTATTTCGGGAATCAGCTTAGTTGCTGCTCTCTGAATCTTTTCCAAACGTTCACTGTCGTTTTTTAAGCAGGAGCTCACCGTTCATCTGCAATTCGCACGAATACTGATACATAGTCAAAAATATTTGGGCGTCGATATAGCCAAAGGCCCATCATATTGATTATAGGGTTCTAAAATCATTGGCGGCTATTGCACGGCAGTGTGTAGTAGTTAGGTATAAGTTAACGGTGACTCCTAAGTCATTGTGTGTCTGGACAACAGGTAGATCAATGTTACTCATCGTGTATGTTGTAAGGGCCATTTCGAATGTTTTGTGTGTGAAAATCCCTCGTTGTATACACTCTTAGCTTGTTCCTATTTATTCCTTTAGTTGTACATTTTGTTAGTCTTTTTGATTCCATTTGAATTGAAAATATTTGTATTTTATCATAGTTTTTTTATATTTCTTACGCTTTTACTAAGTTTCCATGTTTCTTCCTGAACTGCATTTATGTTGTTTTACTTTATACTTAATCTTGGCGGTAGTCATATTGGTTTGTTCCTCCTTTTGATTGTGTTACTTGTGTTGACCGGAATTGCGCATTTTTTGATTGTTAATTGAAATACTCTCCCAGAATTGGAATTGTTATGAAGAAACCAAATATTATCTTTTGAACGAATCCGTGCGTGGTCCATCCAGACAGGAGAAAATAACATTTATTTGTTGTGATTGACTTGATTAGTTGAATAATTATTGGTTGTATAGCTGGGTGGTCATATTTGTTTAGATCTTTCATTTTACCCATTTAATTTGTTTGGGCTTCGACCGGTTAAGGGCGCTTATCTTACCCACCTAGACATCTATTCTGCAGTCGAAACCTTAGTTTGGATCTTACATATGTATCTGTACCTTGATTATCAAAGGGTACCACAATGCACTTGGAAGTATTTGTTGGTAACTGCCACGTTAAAGACCATTTAGATAATCTCTCCAGGTCATTTTGAAGCCCTGAGTTATCACCTTTACTTTTTATCACTCTCCATATCTTAAAATCGTCATCATATAAGAAAACTGATGATGAGAGGATACTAGGCAAGTCATAGAGGAGGAACAACACTGATCCCTAAAAGTGCACCTTGAGGCACTCCACCAAGCACAGTTTCCCATGTAGACAACTTGGAGTTGACCCGTACTCTTTGTTGGCGCCCAACCAGGAAGTTTTTCATCCACAATAGTAAATCGCCTCCAACCCTGACATTCCTTAACTTATATAGCGGCCTGTTGTGAGGAACTTTGTCAGTGTAGGCTACATCTATGAGTAACTTTTAGTCTTTAAGAGCTCACCAGCTTTCACAAGTCACGAAAAATTTAGTGAGACAAAAATAGCCTTTTCTAATGCCATGATGCTTTCCCGAAAAAATCCGGTTTTCGTCGAGATACGTAAACAGCTCCTTCCGAGTAGTCTTTTCCGAAATTTTAACACACAAGCTGGTTAGGCTAGCGGATCGATAGTTTTCAGGTGTATGTTTCGTACCGGTTTGGAGATAGGACTTACTATGGTGTTCTTCCAGTCGCTTGCTAGATGTAGAACAATATATTCGAAATGAATAAAAGATATGACATTCAACAGGGACCACGCCTGCAAGGCCGACTCATGCCATCCGATCAACTCGAATTAATTCACTTCATCGTTCCCGCCTTCCTCCTCGTTGGGCTTCTATCCGTGTTAAATTTTGAATATCTATTTCCCCAATTGTTTCATGTTCAGCTTTGTGGCCTAATGCCACTACAGTCCTGTCTTGGCAGTATATTCAACGACAGGCGCAATAGATAAACATTGACATAGTTGAGATTTCCGATTAAAATTGAATGAATACATAAAGAAATTTTTCGCTAGCCATTTGAGCATTCGTATTCTTAACAAGTATCATTGGATTTCTGTTGACTTCATCAGGTCGTTGAACTGTATCCAGTGTTCTACACAATGAAAAAACCTTACTATTCTGTGTAACAACCGTACTGTCAGTACACAAACGAATATCTCATGTTCCAGCGACATCCAACTTGTTGATCCATAATGCGATATGAAATTGTTATGAACATTCCAAATACGCATGAGGGACAAAGAGTAGTTTAGCGGTAAATATAGACCCCCAAAATCAATATCTCTGTAAGTCTTCGAAATTGATGCTGACCGCATTAGATGTAGAGAACTTTTCATGTTTTAAGGTTACCCTCGTGCTATTGATAGAGGAAACAAGACAAGTAGTGAATAGGTCTTTATTTCGATCTTCACGCAGTCACAGTGGAGCGTGGGATTATCTGCTCAGACAAACAGAGCCTCTCAACATTCAATGTAACATAATAAGAAGTATAATGCAAAATGAGGAAGGGAATGAATGCTTGAACTATACTGTTTTGGCATATGCTTGGTTGTTTGAGGTCAACTCTTAACCAACCAACCTAAGCTGTTATAAACTCACCTAGCTGAAGGCGCTCAGTCACGCATGCGCAC